TTTGAAATTTATATTTAGTCAAATAAAGCATCGAAAAAATATAATTAAGAATGAATTAAAATAAACTATAATAAAACCATCCTCTTGTCTTTCTATTTAAGTTAAAACAACATCAATTTTTTAAATTATTTTTTTTAAATATCTTTTTCACTTAATATAATGGTAAAATGTTATATTTTTTAAAGTAAAATATATATAATATCAAGCTATTTGTTCATTTGTGGTAAAAGAGAATTATTTATGTCTTGTTATTACAAAAATATTTTTTTACCAATTTATCTACTATAAAATTGTGGAACTATTTCCAAAATAAATATCATGACCCAAATATGTTTTTTTATTGTTAATATACAAAAAACGCATTTCTGAACAACTATTGAATTAATGTTTATCTATTATAAATGAATTTATTTTATAATATATTATAATTCATTATAATACATAATAATATAATTAATTTTATCAAAATAATATTAATTTTTCTTTGTTTGTCTGTTTGTTTGACCTTAAAAAAATATTTTTTACGGTTTTTTAAGTACAATAAATATAATAAATTAAGTTATTTATTTATTAATATATTTATTAAATTAAAAAAATAATAAATTTTTTCATTAGTTATAATAACATTTAAATTTTAACTATAAAATTATATTTAAATAATATGGTTTTCAAACCATTTTTTTGTTGATAAAATGAATTATAATTATTTAATAAATGTTTATTGTAATAGTTTAAACAAATAAACAACAATTGATATTAATATGAAGATAACAGAGTCACTTTAAGAATATATCACTACAGTAAAATTGATTTCTTATAGTCAATGCAAATATTAATTGTATATAATCAAAACAATCGAACCACATTAACTTATGAAATGTTTTTATTTCTTGATAGATTGATCAATATAATATAAAAAAATACTTTGCAATAAACACATTAAACAATTGATCGTTTATCGATTAGGTAATTACAACATTTATAAGATCACATTGCGTTGGTCTTTTATTGATGTATAAAACGGCAATAATAAGTAATTGATCCTTGTTAAATAATATCAAAATATTAAAAGTATTAACAAAAGTAGACAATCTTATCATGTTGACAAATATGGAGGTATTTGTTTATAAGTTTTTAATGCAAAACTTAATATATATCCACATATTTTAACATCCAAAGCGACTTAAAAATAAATGCAGTTTTTATTAAAAATGTTGCTATGTAAAACTTTTTATCGATCAACACAAATTTAAAACATATCAATGAAAATAGATAATGTTGTTGTGATTATATTGTTATAACATATATTTTCTTATTATGATATCGTTGATTTTATGTATAATAACACAATTGTAATATCTTCATTTTAAAGTTTGCAACAAGTTAAACACATGTTATAACAAACACAAAAATATCAAACTACTCCTAACATTATATCATCAAATTTAATAAACATTATAGTTTGTTTAAATCACCATCATTGGATTTGACTTATTGTTTAAGATATTGATATTTACACATCAATTACAAGAATATGATATAATAAACTCAGTATTACTATTTCTCATTTGGTACAAACAACAAATGTTCTTGTTGAGAAGGTGCTTTAAACGCCAAACAATATTAAACAACATTAATAAATATTTGATTATTGATATGTAAACTCGAGACAACTTGATGTTACAACGTTATTAAAGATATTTACACAACATAAAAATTATTGTAAAATAGATAAAAATGTTAAAAAAGTGATTATTACGATTTATTGAAATATTAACTAGTTGTTGTTTTGCTTTTGATTCTCAACAAATGTGTTGATTATTATTGTGTTTACATATTTTAAATTGTTAAATGTCTTTTATTTTTTAAATTTTATGAATATATATTAATTTAAAATAATTATAATATATATAATATTAATTTATAACATCAAATGAAATAATAATAAAATATATTGTATAATATAATTATGATGTAGTATAATTTAGTATAATGTAATATTATAATATATTAAATTATTATTATTTTATTAATTATATTATAGTATTTTATAGTATTTTAGTAGTTATAATTAAAATAACTATATAAGATTATTTTATTTAGAAAAAAAGTAATCAAAAAAGTCTTTCAATCACTTTAATATCAACTGTCGTATTCAGTGTGCTGGAAAGTAAATTTTATTATCTTTCTCTTTTTGAATTGTGTAAAATGAAAAACGTGCAATGGTTTTTCGAACCATGATTTGATACATAAAAGAAAGAGAATTATAAAATGGTAATTGTGTGTCAAATTGTTAGGATTTGTATTATAATAAATATTATAATAAGTACTATTAGAATTTTTTTAAAAAATAATTAAAATTTGTAAGTTTTTTTAGTGGATTTGACTGCATAATAACTTGATTGTAGAACCATACATCTGACTATCATCCAAACAAAAGTTAATAACCATACCAATTACACGCTTTTCTAAATTGTGGATGATCGAGATTATCATATTTTTTTTGCCTTCAAACTTTTTAAAAAATGACCAAATTTATGCCCGCTTTTTTATGTGTTTTATACGTGTTATTTTTCTTAATAAAATATAGGATGGCAATCAAAGACTTTTGTTTACCAAACGGAAGTTAACAAAAAAATCTATTTTGATTTAA